CAAATCCCAGAGTTCCATTTGCAACAAAACAAGGAAGGGTTATGCTTAGCTGTGGCTGATCAAGGCTAAACGACAGCAGACTTTATCAAGATTATGGGCCTGGTTCGATTTAAGGGACCATTACGTATATATAACAGAATCCAATATCTTTAAATGTATTCTATGTGTTGTGAACGCACTGCTTTCTGAACCCCAAGTTTACTACGCGCAGATACGCTACGTCTGTTACCAATGGCCCAATAAGCCAGTGGATCAGCTCTAGGCTTACTCTTTACATGAACTATGCCCTGTATATATATATGTATTCCGAAGGTTACTTAAACGTGATCGCAATGAAAGAAAAGAACAAGATATAAACGTTTAACGGATGACACCTGCATATATTTAAATACAAACGAGAATTAATTGCACGTTTGCATTAGGGTCATATTTGAAGTGGAAGACAAAACCTGGTGTATGGCTATATGTTCACGTTTAGTCGTAGCTACAGTCCGATATTAAAGGATAAGACGATGATTGCGCTTATAAGTGTTAGTTTCATTCATATTTTTGCTTGTTTACATACGGCTTGTCAGTAAAGCCTGTGATATGTGTCAATAATAAATCTGGAATAAAATTTAAGCTCCTAAAACAATATTTAGGTTGATGATTTGTGATCTATGCTTTGGTTAATATTACTGGAATAATTCCGAAATGTGGCGCGCTACCCTCAAGCGCCCGTTACACTAGTCTATGTACAATTTTCATTTTTAATAAAAGGCTCTCTAATGGGCTAATTAATCCATTGTATACTTGCCTGTGTTTCTGGATACACTGATACGAAGTTCGACAATTCAATGTTATTCAGTTTAATTCATAAATTAATATATATATATATATGTATATATGTGTGTGTATGCATTCTGCAAATTCAAAGGTAAGTGGCACTTCGGACAGCGAACAGGATACGTCTCGTAAATAGTTCCGTTCTAAATGTTTCTTCAGTCATTGACTTCGAGAGACGCAAAATCAACGCTGATAATGGTAGCAGCGTCATCTTAACGACATGCGAGACCTAACATGCACACACATCTAGGAGCTGCTCATAAAATCCACTTGTGATGTCACGTATCTTCTCTCTACTTGAACCTTTCAAATGTCTAGTGTTCGTCATGCTGGGACGTGTTCAACTCAATGCATGTTTCTCGTAGAATAGAAAAGATTATACATATATGGGAGGCAGTACACGGTACGGCAAGCACGTCTTTAGACATAGCCGAAAACAGGGGATTCACTCATTGCAGAGCACAGTGCCCACAATCGCCCAAGTGTCTTCCCCAGCCCCTCATTGGCCTCCAGCCAAGACATGGTGATTCGAAACTCGCTTTGCTGGGTACGTTTGTCGGTAACTCCCGTTACACCGATTGCCAACTGGGTTCGGCTCGGGAGTGCCTCAGGATGTTGTTGTTTTTGGGTTTGTCCTGCTTGTCCTAGAATGTCCTGTACCGTTGTCAGCTTCCTCAAACAGCAAAGTGGACATGGCAATAGCAGGGTCACCAATGCGCTGTCCCAATGTCCAGCCGACAAGCAGATCTCATGAAGATCCCAAGAGACCAGACGACATAACCGGAGTGTTCTAACATAGTCGCTTCTGCCTCCTTTGCTCCTTTCAGATGTTCCCGCTCAGTTGGTCTGGGGTGCTCCCCTTTCACACACAAAGAAAGCTGAGAGACGAAAGCAGAAGTACAGTTAAGCAAGGGCCTAACGTCAATGGGTATCATCTCGACCCGGTGCACGGAACCGCAGCATTGCCAACTTGGATAATGAAAAAGATCTAGGTAAATTGATAAATTTTTTAGGCTAGCTTCCTCTTTGAAACGATAGCAGGCTTCGTCTAGGGTTAGTACGATATCAGTGTGAATACGCAAGATCGTAGGCTACGAAATGAAAACTTATGAATGAATCTGCATCTTAGATCACAACAAATTAGGCAACTCGGAAATTGTATACAGCTCTAAAAATGCTCGATTATTTACATTAAAACTTAGGTCAGACTCTGAAAGCCTGAACATTTCGAGGTGTATTGTTAAAAATCGAAGATCTTTGGCCCTACCAAGCCGCTATCGGATATATACCCTGTGTGTTACACATTTGAGATGCTTAGAAAATCTAGAAGTTAAATTAAAAATTTCCTTCTTTGTTATACCGCGTCCATGATATACCTAACGTATTGTATTGCTTAGAATGTAACTAGCGCAAAGCAACTTCGACAAATATGTATATTTGTATGTATAAGTCCTACTACGATAACACCGAAAGCGGGCTGAATTGCTACCAAGCCTTCATAGTCCTTTGGCAGGTACTCAGTTGTTAAGTAAAATTAAAAACGAATTGTTTGAGAGTATTAATTACCCTGATTAATATAGCGTTGATCAACACAGATCTAGATTTTGCTAATCGAATCGTGTATTAATATCAATAGGTAATGAAAGTTCACTAAACCCTTTCGCACTTCCGCGTCCGTAACTATTAACATCCTCGTTGTCACTTTTACATACGTAGGTATTCATGGCTAGCGGAGTGATATATCCAAATGCATTTGATCGGCTACTTCTTTTTCTTTTAATTCCTTACGACCAATGGTATACCGATAACGCGCTTGTGCTAGGTGGATTGTTCCCCCTTGCCCAAGTTTGGCCTTGGTCGCCCCTCAGATCTCAGATCACAAAAAGACGATCATAGCATCCCCTTTAGAGTAAAGACTAATAGATAATCGAGTCGAGGAGCGCGGGAGCGACTGAGCGGACGCAAGCCGCTCTTCAACAGAACCGGCAGCAGCAGAGGCTGGATCACAACCACCCCAAAAATCCCTTTCCGATAGGGGCCTTCGTCCACCACAAACGCGCCACAGCTATGGCAGCCACTACACCACCCCTAGGGACTGACAGTTACCGGACTACCGGCATGGGTGCGCCCGCCCTTTAGCCTGCCTCCTTCCTGCTTGTCCTTCTACTGCGCCTCCTGAGGGCTTCTTCGCCTTCCTTTTCTCATCCTGTAGACTTTCGTTCAGCGCACCGGCTTTCGTTTCTTTGCCCTTTACCCCCTCCCTCCCTTCTTTCTTTTCCTTTCGCGCCTTCTCTCTCTTTATGAAAGCAGCGAGGCACGGACCGGTGGACTGATGACCCCATTCTACCCCCGACGCCAATGCCTAACCCCCAACTACGACTCACAGTCGCCCGGTACAACGGCGAGGGTAAGCTGACTGAGGGTGGAAGAATTTAAAGTACCATTTGTTATGTTGGCATCCATCTGCTGGGATGGTGGCAGTGCTAGCAGCAGCAGCAGCGGTGGCAACGGCAGCGTCATCTGTGAGAGTCCATTCGGGCAAGCGACGAGGCCAGGCTAGCTAAGAAATAGATAGATAGACAGATCACACACAGAGAGACGAACGCCGACACACGCCGTACGCCGCACAGCATCGGCGAGACCATAGAGTCACTGGCAAGACTCGTTCAGCGGAAGACACGAGACATCAGACATGAACCATGAGGCGGCATGACCTGGTGGACTTCGGAAACGAGGAACGGCGATCAGGAAGAAACACCCACGAGCCGCTAGGCGAACTCCGAAGTGAGTAGTTGCTCTAAGCGAAGTGTAGCAGCTGTCTGGTAAAGTAAGAAGTGTACGACCGAGCAAAGGCGGCTATCGCGGCGGAGAGGGGTCACAAAGAAGACCGAAGGTGGTAGAGCTGAGTCCATCGTCTACTGTCTCGAGGTTGAAAAAATAATGCTTGTACCACGTAACCCTAGGGAAATATATCAAGCTAGGTGAGTTTGGTACTCGAGGAACAATGCTGGACTTATCATTTTAGAGCGCGTGCACATAACTAGATCAGCATTAAGGTCGGAACAGATTTAATATGCATAAGAACATTACATTGCGGTCAGAACAGGTAGGCAGGCAGGCAGGTAGGACGAAACTAATTATCTTTTCAAACCCATGTAGTATTTGTGTGCCCAGCTAACTCGTACATCGATGTACGGTGCTCTGATCAAGAAGTCCTACCGGTGACAGAAAAACACCACGTTAAAGTAATCCTTCGATTGTATATAGCAGTTGTGTAGCGAAAGGACAAACTCCTGCTTATTTCATCAAGTATGCCCCGCCTATGTACTACACCAATATCGTAATTTATGACGGAAGGAAATCGATTTTATTTAATTACGTTTGATAGACGTGTAGAAGTGGTAACGCTCTGAAATAATATAACCTGAGTCCGGATGAAAAGCTTGTCTATTTTTTTGCCAAGATCTTAGCCTGGTAACACCTAAATCAGCACCGAAGTCATAGGACCTGTGGCACTGCACAGGCCAATCTAAAATTAGGCCAGTCTGAACCTTTCCTGAGAGAGCCAATCCTCAAACAGCATTAATTTGAAAACCACCAGTCACCTATCTGTCGCGTAACGTGCAGGAACGTCAGAAACAATCAACTAACGTTGATGATGAGCATGTAAATGTCAACTCGGTAACAACAGTTTGGAACTGTAATTGCCGAGATTTGTGCATGCTTCTGGGTTAGTTGTTGTGAAAACTCGAAGCAGTCTGTGATTGTAAATTGGAATCCTCCCAGAAGATGGCCTAGTCCCGAGCCTTGTGGGCTCCACCTTGCAAATTGATCTCTGCCCTGACTATTACCGTAAGGGTTTGGGCAGGCTTCAAGCCGCCGGCTACGCTATCAATGTAAACGTGTCCTGAATGGTGAATTGCGTACTACGTGGGATTTCGACTTTTTAAAAACGTACACGTCTAGAAATATTATTATAGAGTTTTTATGTATAACAAATAAATCTCGTTCTGGAGAGGGCTGCGTATACTTCGTTTTCGTTAGACTAATTTTCCTCGTTCAGGCCCAAGCGTCCAGAAATAAAGCTGTCATAACAACCATCTTTATCATAAATTCACATTGAAGCAGATTGAGAACATATCCTTTATTATTTCGATACTTTCAACTATCTTATCAACATTTCCTTTATGTATGTTACCGAAAACTTGCCAAACTTATCCGTCCTCTATGCGGCCATATGGCAACCACGCAAGCAACATTTGCCCTTTCCCGCAGACAGTTTATCGCATCGATTATTGTTCGAAGGAAAACAATATGTAAATACACATCGAATATTATCAAGTACGATAATTTTCTATGCAAATGTTCATGCTTTCGAAGATTTCGTAAGAAAATATGGTATCTGATCGATTCTACGCGTAAATTTCGACCGAATCGTCAGTGCACCAATTGGTATTTGTAGGCGTCCCTTACTGATAGGGGGATAGCAGATACCGACTAGCAACAAACTAAATAATATCAATATTGTTGAGTATTAATTGCTAAATAACGAATTTAATAGGGTACTTTCGGTCAAGTAATTCTTATATGTGAAACTCTTAAACGACCATAGTCGAAGGTGTCGTGAGAACTATCGTGGATGTCATATCGATCTCTAAGAGACGCACGTAACCGTACGAGCCAGGAGCCTGCGCTGAATCTGCACGCAGAAAAGATCACTTTTTATCGGTATTATATCGTGTCTTTCAAATAAACAATTTAATAGAGCACATTTTTAATACAGTGAACGCTGTAAAACAGAATCTAGCAGGGATTAATTTATCGAAAACAACAAAGGGACCAGAGGCCTTTTTGGGCCTGCGCTTAGCACTGCCATTTCGTGAGCACCTATATCAGCCTCTGATTTTTTTTGGACATCAGGCTGCCACTTGTTTACGATTCTCCCCACAGGACGGATTACTACGACAGCAGTAGGTACATGTTTCGCGATTAATTCCAAATCCCTTTTCACTACAACTGGGCGCGCAAACGTTCGAACATTTGCGGGAAAACGCGACCAATACTCCATTTAATCGTGCGACGTCAACCTGAATGAACGAAAGAAGATCGAACAGGAACGAGTTACATGAGAAGAATCGAAAACAATGGACTGATACTGTACACTGTTATATCTCCATAATTATTTCATAAAATATCATTAAATAGTGATGATGATGATGATAATAATATGGAGGTAATGATTCAGGACCAAAACGAAACTCATTAGCGTTGATTCTCTATCAAGTATCCTCCTCTGTGAAGAGCTTTTATGTAAACACACGGCTAGCTTTCAGAGGGCCTTGTTCTCTGTGAATGAGCACAGAAGACACAGGGCATTAATTAAGCAGTCATCGTCAATGATGAAGCATCATCAAACTAGCATTGGTTATATAATGATTAGGGCATCATTTTGATCACACTGGAATTGAGAACGCTTTCAAGCTAACGAATCAAAGCACCGATTCTAAATTATGCCTCCGCTAGAACGTCGAATAGGTAGCGAAGTTCGTTCAGGACAAGGCTTGAAACTTGCTTCTGTCTTTACTATCAGGGCCGGCTTGATGATAAATAATTAATGTGTACATGTTGAAATCATTACAATTTTATAAAAATTCCAAAATAGTAGTTGGTCAAGCGACAAATCATATCATAGCATAAATTGGCCGTAAATCAATCTGAAAATTATCGCCGGACATAATCCGATTGATTAGAAAGGGGCTTTCAAGTCCCGATGACGAACTGGGCAGCGCACGAGCTACGTCTGGACCGCTGGGCTTACAGGGCGTGCAAATTTGTTCCGTACCTATTAGAAAAAGGTCTATTTAACCTAACTCTCGGTGCATCTCAACGAAGATAACTTAAAATACGCGATTGTTGATAGTGCGCATTAGGCTCAGCACCAGCGATAACGGTTGAGAAATAGTATGTGAAGCATCTACACGTCATTCATCAAAAAAATGGAGAACATAAGCATGTGTATATAAATATGTACTTGGCTAATTTTCTATTTCACCTAAGTAGGCCATGGAAAAGCCCTATTGAGTAAACTTCGAAACTACGTGCAACTGTTCTGTAGGTTGTAGGTATATAGAATTCGATGTAAGCTATGACAAATAAAAATCATACAATACCTAACTAGATTAGCAGGGTTTTATAAATTACAACACGCCCTTGGCTGTTTTTTTAGACTGGCCTTGCAATAGTTGGAGTTGCTGCTGCAGCTTACGGTGTCCTTGCTGCCCAATCCAACGAGACAGCTATCGTTTGCGTCGTATCTGTCAACAGAGAAGTCGACATCGCACGTGTAACATTGTACGCGAGCTCCACCAAAGCTTCGACCTTCACCCTCATCTGCAACACAAATCGGTAATGTCTTGATGATCGATAAATACAAATTGATCCGTAGTGTTAGAGGTAACAGTAGAGCCCAAGGAGATTATCAGAAGTGAAATTGTCGCGGTTTATGCGGGAATGTTATTTCATCAAAAGGATAAATAGGTCAAAATATGTCTCGACGATGTGCATTTACTGGTTCGAACTTATACTAACTTGTTGTACACACTTAACAGCAGTCTAAGGAAAGCTATTCGCTGTGCATAGTTAACCCTGTCCAATTTCTGCGTACGTTTTAATTATCTCGCATGATTTGTGTTATATAATTCATGTCAATCTGTACCACTGTAAGTATCAATCCGATATGGTTGAAGCTCCTTAAGCAATAATTTGCTAGTGTTGCACTCGCCTTGACGATATCTACGTCTTAGATAATAAACCGCGAGAACAGGTAGCGAAAATATGTTCAACCTCCGTTGAAGTTCGTGATTAGCTGTGTACGTCTCATTCAGAACAACGCTCGATTTCGACACATAAAGGAAGTCGTCACTCCAGAAACACAGACAGCATACGGAACAATCAGGAAGCACAGCCACCGGCGCGTGTTATCCAGTTAGAAGGTGTTGTGGTAGACTTGCTATCGGCAATTTCATGTAGTACGTAGTAGTCATATGTATGCTGGGCCTATGGAAGCTTAGCACTAAACTGAGAAAAAAAGCAGCATCCATGGCCGTAAGCTCGTTCTTCATCACAAGATATGAACTCGTGTTTTCCTGGAGTGTGTGAAGGGACTCTAAAAGCGGGTAGGCCGGCCCGAATAGGTGCACGTGTGACATGCAATGAGCACAATCGTTTACGTGTGTAACGATTTACGTGCGATAAGATGTCATGCATGACAGGCCTCAGTGAAAGGAGCCAGAAAAACCTTCAACAGGCCTTGCATGCTGGGTATTTGACATAAGATTATTTCTAGAATACGAAAAATGTACGCTATGCAATGAACTAAATCTCTAAATAATAGCAAAAGCTAACACACTGTTTGACTCCAAAGAAGCTCATGGCAGTTATAATGACGAGGTGTACTTGAACCTTTTCGTCTTCTTTGCATACGAAGCCACGAAAAATGAGGTACTCATTTGTACGTTTGAGTCATGTCACTGACGTTCGAAAAAATTCGTTCTGACGTTCGAAGGAAGAAGACGATCCTCGTTGAAGTAACGTCTTTGACGATAATACACTTTCGAGTTCGATACAAAGTGTAACCGGAATCAACTGCCAATTTGCTCGCTGCCTCTACGACGTCTTTGGTAGGATTTTCTTTATAGAACTGAATTTCCGTATTTACCTTTACTCCGTTTATCACGTCTGTTGCTGGACACAGTCGATGAAACGAACAAGTTATTTCCACCTCACTCCAGTTACGGTCGATACAATATGACTGTGGACAATCGAAATAAGCTGACCTTCAAAATACCTAAAAAAAAACATACACGAATTATGTGAACATGTTGACTTACGTGCCTTCGCGTTGTGGCGAAGCAGAATAGGCAGCGTTTGCAAAGTAAGCAGTAATAGCTTCCACTCGGGTGCCATACCGCCAGCGCACTATTGAGTTCGCTGCTACTACCTGGACCACGATCTATCTCGTGGCTTAGGGAAGGGTGGTTTGGGCCTAGTTAGAAAGGATCCCGTTGTGCACGTTGAATTCAGCACACGGACGCCGCTAATAGGACGGTGAGCCGGTAAGGGGAGCAAGGCAGAGAGAGGAAGACAGCAAACGTTGAGGCACTCAGGGCGCAAACTACGTTTTGAAAAACACGACATTTTTAACCTTTACCTAGTTTTGTTATGGCATGCATCAAACATTGGTTACTACTCATATGTAATCTGAAAAACTCGACTTTCGACGTACAGGTTAAATTGTTGAGTAATTTTTTCTTGAGTAAATAGGTTTCAGTTGTGTAGGTCCTAATTCTCAATATTAATGGACCAAATATGTGTATTAATAAAAGTAAAAGTCGATTATTTGTGTGTAAGTAAAATTGTATGCAGCATAAACACTGTTATTTAGCAGGCCCTATCGTTTTTAGCTATCTTATGTGATTTTTCACTCCGATCAAGTTTTAAACGCATTCGACTTGCACGAAACCGATCAGCCAACTTGTCCGCAAGTTTTCCAAATCTCTGTGTAGTAAGTAACTAAGCCCACTGTGGCAGATACCATATTTAATGGCAAAAAAATTTGAGTTAAATACAAACAAGTCGCACCTTACTTAAAAAAAGCCCTGGCTAGGCAGATTAACTAATTGTTGAAATAGCGCTAAGGACAATGAGTCATGAACAAAATGGATAGTCTTCAATATATGGATGCTTCCACAAATGCTTACTTTAAATTATTGGTGTTAGTAACGTTAATTGTGAACACAGAAACATTCTCACAGTTCGCGCACGTATATCCAACTGCTGTGACCACGTCATTATATGTAAGGACGTAACTAGCGCACGTTAACGCGCCAGGAACAGCGTTATCAGATGCGCCTGTCAGCTTCGGTCAATTAAATGTGATCACTGACCTTATGTCTGCTTTTGCTAGTAAACAAGAATTGTATGAAGATCTTTGACATCAATGAGGTGAGAGAGCCCTTATATAGCACACTGTTATGATTTTATCAAGTTCAAGAGATAATGATAGGTGGGTCAATTCAAGTATGCCATGATTAGGTACTTCTTAATAAAAGCTTGCGTATAAAAGGATATGTCCGAAAAAATTCTCACTGGAGTAGCAAAGTCATGAAAAATCAAAAATCAATCCTGGGATATCTCAGAAACAGCGTATTGTTCTGTTCTTAAGTGACGTGCGACAAATAATTGCTGTTATTTCTAGTGTTATTATCGGCCGTGGTTATCTACTGAAGATGAGCTTCTAGCCGACGAAGGCCGCGTTCGCACTTCAGTGATTTAATCGTCTGAGAGATATAGAGATAATTAGTTATTTTGTTTAGATCGTTAACTTTTGGCATCTCATTGGATGCCATATGATCTAGACCAATCTGTTTCTTATGGGCTTTTGTTATGACATGGCCACAGATAAACATTCAAATATATGCACTGAAGAAAAATTCGACATATATGCTTCATTATTACCTATTGTTAAGTTCCCATTTTCCAAGGCTGTCAAGCTTGGCGTCCGCGAAGACCTAAAAAGGAACGTGCTTTATCTATATATATGTGTATCTTCCTTTAAACTAAAACTTATTTTCGCATTTGCCTCCCTAACAGGGACAAGCCTACTACGGAACGTCAAAGTAACGTCATAGAGGATGTGTAACAAATTCGCAAATTTTGCAGAACACCTTAGCATTATTATACGCAGAGAACCAAAGGTTGGTTTAACGATTGCCGTACGCAGTGGAAATGGATCAAATTGTTCGATTACGTAAAATGGAAATTAATTAATAACCAACTTACTCTAAAAAAATTAACTTCGAATCCTATATCTAACATTATCTATCGTGCTGGGGAGTAATGCTTTCCTCCAAACATCTCTACTTGTCGTTAGCTGTAGACAGTTTACTATGAAATGTTACAGGTGGCCTGATACGTGTTGATAAAGTACATGCCTTTCGTAGCGCCTTCCATTGCTTATGCTATCTTGCCTTGCTGTTCATGTTTCCTTCATGTTTGTGTTGCTTGCGACCTACTGCACCTATAGCTACAAATTAAAAGGCTCTAGGTTATTTAAAGAAGTTAAGACAGGTGTTGTTAGATGTCTATGCGTTCCTGTTTAGCTGTTTTATTTAAAGTTAGGATCAAACGGGTGGTTATAGTGGACAACTGTCGCCTCATGCTAATCAACGTTTCTCTGCAGTTGATAAAAGTATTCAGTTGGACGGCCTTATGTCGTCTACAGTATTATACCACACAGAAAACGAAGAAGGGCTCTAAAGACCACGTGCATAAAGAAATACGCACGTAAATTAGTGTCCAGTCTTATTGTTAACTATATAAATAAATATTTTTGCAGAACATAAACTATGGAAGACATGATAAATCATTCGAAATGACTTTGGAGCTCCACAAATAAATATAATATGGGATACTACTTTTCGCGTCTGTAGCAAAACGTTAGCGATTTGAAAGCGCGGTATTTGTGGTAAACGCACCTTCTTTAGCGGCAACTAGTGGCTTTATGATTCCTTTGTTTTATAATTGACTAGCAGGCAGTGCTAGGGCAAAGGTTTGGCATTATGATGGCACTTTAAATTAGGTTTCGTCACTGTGTTGACGCCTTCAAGCGCTCGATCTGGCCTCTGTATCTTGGACAAAAACTGCACAAAAAATAACAAGGGCAATGGAAACTTTTTTTTTCCTATTACTGCAAAAACAGATTGAAGTTCGGCACTGGTATAGAAAAATGATTACACCAACATTGGAGAATATCCCGGAAGACAATGAATTGAAGCTTAGCATGCCGGCCTACAGAGACAATGATTTTACTGATTTCGACGCTGATATAGAGCCAATCGAAGACGCGTCACCTTTGTCCTACTTAGGCGTAGCGTACGAGGAGCGCGTCCCTAATGTCTCAACAGACGACCCTACACAGAGACAATGTTCCTTTACCAGCAGTTCCTCGACTACAACTTCAGGTATAGTAGAGAAGTAAACAAATGATTCCTTCTAATGCCTTCTTAGGTACAAAACAGCTCGTTGTCAGCCTAATAGACCTAACGTGTTATCCAAAATATGTAGCCTAAGCGGTACATCTAAAGACTCTTTTTTTGTATATCATTGCAATCTTTGAAGTAATGGTTCGATGAGTTTTTTTTAATGGTATTCCCTAGCACTGATTGGGCAGAATGAACAGAGATAATAGCGAATTTTATTTCAATATTTATTTATTTTATTAGGTTAGCATTTAAACATATTTGTAACGGTATTTCAATACCGATGGGTCCCTGTGTCTATGAATATTTCCAGTCTGTCCCAAAATCGATTTAAATAATGATGCTGATACAACTTCGTATAGTTCAGCAAAATGTTTTTTGACCGTGTTATATTAATGTTTACTTTCTCAGGCTACCCGAGCTGATAATAGATGAGTGTCTAAGTGCACAAAAAGTGCTAGTTTCATTGGCCTTCGTGGTATTCGGAGTTTTGTGGGCGTAATAATATGAGTTTAATAGGTTACCTCGATTTGCGTATTTTAGCGAAGCTTACGTCATCCCTTGCACCAAAACCGACTGAGTGTGAAGACCGTCCCGCGTTCACAATATTCATAGATCCGATCACCTCGGACGGCAAGGATTCAAAATTCAGGGCAGCAGGAAAATTGCAGGGCGACTCAATTGCGAATAAGCCCCAAAGACACTTCAAGTTGTTTAACCTAACGGCCAGCAAGAAAATCGCGAAGGAGAACCGCGTGAGCGACTCCGCTATCCGCGACGAAAGCAGTAGTGCGGTAACTAAAGGTGAGTCATTAACGCGTGTCTGGCTTTGCAGACGAATACGCCCAGCCGTGACCCGGGCTCGCGTAGACGGCCTGTGTCCCACATCGGACACGCTCGAAGACGAAATTATATAGCAAATTTATCTAATCGTAAGTACCGTAAATGGCTCGACCCAAGTGGATTCGTTAATATGGATACGTATTTAGGTACGTTTACTTACCACGTGCGACGATGTTTCGAGTCCTTAACGTTTTGAATATGGTTGCCTTATGCGAATATAAAAGAAGATAATGTAAACTGCTGGCTATCGCGATTAAGTTATGGAGAGAAAAACGATAACCAAGGATGACAGAGGGTACTCAGATTTTTGCAGATGTTTTTGCTGACCCTTCCAACAGTCAACACTTAGGGTATGATGTCTAAGTCGTATTAAAGGGCTGAGGATATTTTGAAGGTTCGGTAGATTATCATTGTGTGTGCCACCATTACAGCAAACAAGAAGTACGAGGACTGTCTATTAACTAGATTTCCTTTGTCTTTCGGATTGTTCGTAAAGGTCGCGATGGAATCGCCGTTGCAAAGGGTCCTCTTCAGCTTTCACAAACATTACAGTCACTGCTGTCAGAAGCACAGTAGGTCCCGCAGCTTTTGAGAGGTCAGAAAAAAATGCTAAAGTAAATAATTATGCATTGTCCGTCACCTTCTTGATAATATGCCACCTAAAGCTAACCTGGTTAAGTTGACTCATAATCTATCCTAGCTTATTATTTGCTTCCATACAAAGTAAAGATACGCGTATATGGATTAGCGGTACACTGTCTTATTGATTTTAGCACTTATAACGCTGCATTTATTTCGACCCATATAGAAAAAACGACGTAAGCAGAGAAATTTCCACTAATTTATTTATTCATTCCAATCATCCGCCTGGCTTCTTCTAGAATATGCACAACAAAGCCGGGCGAATCGCACCTCTGAAACACAAGTTATTTCGTTCATATTGACTACATTAGTTACAAAAAGGCAGACAACTTCTTGCATTTAAACAACATCCGCATATAATCAACTTTGGTACAAAATGCGAATCGAAAAAAGTCATATAAATATATAGGTGCACGGTGCAAATGCGCACCTTATTGTATTGGAATAGGCAAAGAGGAACCTGTATCAGTGGGCCATTTCATGTTTTTTGACCTTGTTCACAGCTCTTCAATCTATCGTCAGGTGCATTTTGCCTAACGAATACTATTAGCCGTTACTTAAGTGTCCTTGTGTAGAGAGATAACTCATTTATTGTTCCTGGTACATTCGTGCAGATTTCAGATAGAGTCACCTGGCTATTTCGGAAACAATTTTAAGCTGATAGTTACCCAATGTATGTCACATTCAAATGCAGAACTTTAAATTGCAGCATTATCGTACACGTAAATTTACTTAACTTCGTCTGAAGTTGAGCTAGAACGAGTGCGAAGCTTACATGTGTAAAATAAATCTAATTAAGTTTAGAACGAAATAAGTTAGTGATTTAAATTTGTCGGTACAACGTTGCTGTCTCGACAAATACCGAGTACGTTTTAGCTATTGTTGATTATTTGTTCAGATGAATATAGATCTTTTTCATTGGTATAATGTTTGTTATTTTTTTTCTAATCAGTACACGCATTAAGATAACTAGAGTTTTGAACGTATTTTCGCAATCGGTGCACCAAATCATTGAAAATTGATAAGAAAAACGATAACAAAAATAATAAAGAAATTACGATTCTTATAATCGGGTGTATGAATGTATTCTAATAAAAAAAAATCATAAGTACAGCTTGTACGGAGAAAATCAGTAAATTATAATGCTTTGAATTTCTATGCCACTGCTTCTTTTTTCGCATTGTCCAGATAATGAGAAAAGCTAGGGGTGTTTTTTTTTACTTGGCGATGTGCTGCTTCAAAAGCAAACGTAGTTCATCGTCACTAGTCTGCAATTACATATATATGGTATAACCGTAAAAATTTATTAGTATATGTGAATTTAACAATAATTTCAACTGATAATTTCAGGCGTAATTCATGCGATTTGATTCACATTTATCTATTCAGTATTGAACACCCAAAAGCTTGTCCCTGCGCTTGCCGGTATCCAGCCGGAAGAGGTTCCTCGCGAACGTAAAACTAAGTGCGAAGTAAAATCGATTTTATAAGGTCTATTTACAAATCGATTGCTTACTTAGCTATAAGAAGGAATGATGCTTCAACAGTACGAGTATGAAAACACTAAGATTATGTTTTGGTTATATTCAGACGATGATGATGTCTAGAGATTATGGTTTAGGTCCAAAGCCAGATGTGAACGCATTCTATTTCGTGGTGGCTACGAGCCGTCTAAAGCGATCCCTAATGACAGGAAGATGGTACCCGAAGAACACGAAACACTTAGTTCTATTCAGATATATAGAGAAATGAGAGATGACACTTCAGAAGACACTTTAACTATATTGATTATAATGAAATATTTAACAAA